TCCCACTCACACCCATATCCCCTTGTGACAACTGGATCATAGTCTATCCCATTCAAACCATATCCCCTTGTGCCTGTCAGATCACAATCCATATCCCACTCAGACCCATATCCCCTGTGACTATGAGATCTTAATCCATATCCCACTCACACTCGTATCCCCCTATGCCTATCGGATCACAGTCTATATCCCACTCACACTCATATGCCCCTGTGCCTATCGGAACACAGTCTATATCCCACTCACACCCATATCCACCTGTGCCTATCGGAACATCGTCTATATCCCACTCAAACCCATATCCGACCATGCCTATCGAATCATAGACTGTATTCTGCTCAGACCCATACACCAAAGTGCCTATTGGATCACAGACCGTATCCCACTCAGACCAATATCTCACCCAGACCCATATCCCACCGTGCCTATTGGATCACAGACCGTATCCCACTCAGACCAATATCTCACCCAGACCCATACCCCACCGTGCCTATTGGATCACAGACCGTATCCCACTCAGACCAATATCTCACCCAGACCCATATCCCATCGTGTCTATTGGATCACAGACCATATCCCACTCAGACCCATATCCCACCCAGACCCACACCCCACCGTGCCTATTGGATCACAGACCGTATCCCACTCAGACCCATAGTCCACCAGACCCACATCCCACTGTGTCTATTGGATCACAGACTGTATCCCACTCAGACCCATATCCCACCCAGACCCATATCCCACCGTGCCTATTGGATCACAGACCATATCCCACTCAGCCCCATATCCCACCATGCCGATTGGACCACAGACCGTATCCCACTCAGACCCATATCCCACGACGAACAGAAATTGAGTTGTCATTGCCTCTGATGAAACGTCACTGTATTCGTAACATGAACCCTGCTTTCTTCCCACAAGATACTGCCAGGCCTGCTGAGTTTCTGATTTTGCAGCATACTCACTGGATAGACAGGATTGCTTGTCACTTCAGTCCCATCCTTCAAATAGTGCGTCTCGGAGTAGTTCTTCGCAATGAGCTGCCTGTGAAAGGTAAGGGAAAATGTTCACTGATGTGGAACAATGCTGCATTGCTGTGATATGATGTGCATGCATCTTTCAAGTGCACGTCTAAAACTGCTGACTGTCACCATTCACATCTTCAAGGCGTGAGATTTAGTCCCTCATCCATTGGATGAAATGGATAGACCAGACAACACTTACTCATTCTTTTCAAGGTACACAACTTGCTGCTTGCCACCCACTGTGACCTCAAACTGAACAACCGAAGGGTGAAGGCCCTGCCAAAGGAGAGACAACAAAATTCAACTCAATGGCAAACTTTCCCCACTCGCATGCTATCATCTCCCCTTCGTTCAAACTTCATCAGCTCACGGTTTCTGATTCCAGACCAGTCTCCTTTCAGGACGCCCTCATCTCAATTCCCACTTCTTCGCCCGTGACACAAGCCAGGTCCCAACACTGTCATTACATCGGCCTCAGTACTCAGAACCAGAGTGACACTGTGTTCCTGTTTGCTCCCACAATTACCCCTCTGTCATTATCCCCCCTGTGTTCCTGTC